TCTGATGTTGGCTGCTCACTTGGGCTGCTTGCCTGCTCTTGGGTCGGGGCTTCTGATGTTGGCTGCTCACTTGGGCTGCTCGCCTGATGTGCCTGGGTCGTGGCTTTTGCTGTTGCCTGCTCGCTGACTGGGATCGTTTGATGATCGAGATGGGTATCTTGTGTGCTGGCTGGTGCTGCATGGGTCGTTGCTCCTGATGATGGTTCCTGGTGTGTGCTGGTGGCCTTTGGTAGGCCACAGGGTTTGATGGCAGGTTGAACAGCTTTGGCCTCTACTGGCTGGGCAGGTACTGGTGACCGCTTGGGCATTGGGACAGGCGTAATGCTTAGCGCTGCTTGCTTAGGGGATGGTGCCTTGGCTGGCACTGGCACCTTGGCAGAGGGGGGGTCCGTTGGAACCTTCTGTGTGGGAGGTGGCTGCAGCTTCAGCAGGCTAAGACGGCCAGGAACTTTTGGCACTGGTGAAGGTGTCAGGTCTTCTGCCAACGTGGAACCAGCATCATGGGCTTTGGCTGATATGCTTTTGGTTGCAGTTGGGACTGGAGAGTTGGCCTTTTTGATCTCAGGGTTCCCCAGCAAAAGTCGACGCTTAGTGACACAAGGTTTAGGGGGTGTCACCAAGTTCTCATCAGTAGACTGCCGCGAGTACACAGCTGGAGAAACAGACCTGAACAATGTTCCCAGCAGGACCGTGCTTTGTTGTGAATGCTAAATGTGCTCACAAGTTGCAGCCAGGGTGCTGTGTTACATCCAAGTCGGAAAGTGCCTCCCGACTTTCAGGAAGTAGATCTGGCCACCGTACTGGTGTAGGTGTGCTCATGGTTGCCAATGACGTCCCCTGCAAAGTATATGTTAAGCACATAATCATAGACGGAAAGATTTAGTGAACCAAACCAAGAAAGGCTACATAAGCGTTCTTAACCCTGGAAACCCAAAGACACATCACCTTTCGGAGTAGTCCAGGCTGTACTTCTGGAGATTCCAGTCGCCGTTTGCATGGAGGTGTCTCCAAAACCTCCACGTCAGCCTTGATATGGCAAACGGTGGGGATAGATGTTGATAGGTTCAAAAACACATTCCCTACACAAGCCCAGCAACTACCTGCGTTGCATGGGCAACTCCAAAGAAATTAGCGATCTCCCCCTTCACAGGCGGTCTAAATAGAGGAAGCCGCTCCGTGGTGCTCGCTGATGTGTCCTGCTTTAACTTTTTCTTCACGCATATGATATAATTATGCAAACGACAAAAAGGACATCGCATGAAAGCCTGGTCCGGCGGTGATGCCTTTGAAGTTGCTTTCACCTGCATGCGTGATATGCATTTGCGACAACATACGGTATGACACAACTACATATCCATCAAACTCGCCGGGGCTACCATTCAGAGCAATCTGAGGAGACAAAAAGGTGGACCCAGGATCCAAAGAACCAAAAATGAGGCACTGAAGCAACACATGATGGTTCAATGCACTTATATGCATATACTTGCAAACACATGGAAAAATATGGAAGAATAAACAAACTTTTGGTGATAGGTTTTCAATCCTGGGGACGTGTTTGTTCTTCCATATTCTTCCGATGCCTTCGATGCCTTTCCGATGGCCGGGGCGTCGTGGGCCCTCAAATATGAAGGGATTTGAGGTCCCACTGCAAACCTTTCCGATGCCTTTCCGATGCCTTGCCGATGCTGAGTACTAGTATCCAAAGACCCGCCAATCCAACACCACAGACCTCTAATCTTGAAACAATCACCAACAGAACAAACGTTGTTAATTTAGGTATCGCTAAACCAACCTTCAAACAGTCGGGAGTTGCGAATGAAACGGGCAGCAAGTCTAATTAATGATCATTGGAGGCATCTATCATGCCTACCAAAAACTGCAGCTCACACGCCTCGCCCCACAACAAGCGAAGAGTGTGTAGTGTGTGTGTGTGTGTAGCTATAGCCATGGTATATTGTTCAGAGGCCGGCCACAGCGCACGTTAATTAGTTATTGGGGTGGTGTCGCACCACCTCACCCCAGCCGGAACTTCTTGTTATGGCTCCGCTCATTCAGACGCTGCACCAGGTAGTGTTCCACCTCCTCGAGCCTCAGATCGTGTGGATGCTCGAGACGGGTTCCGGGCCGAGTAGAATGGAAACAATTGCCAAAAAAGTCAACAGACCCTAAAAGCAACTACTCCACAGTAGTTATGTCGAAGCACTTCGCATCATTCCAGGGGTCTGGTGTATAGTCAACAAGCATATGCCATGTTGGATTTGCTGCCTCCTCTGTATAGAGTTTGCAGACCTCCGGAAAGTTCACACCACAAGAAGTTCAAAGGTTCCTATTTTCAGACATCAGCCCCCAAGCACAATATGGTGAGTTCCTGTACCGGGCCTGGCGTCCAAACAGTGGAGGATAAACTTGGGTTCCCTTCAACTTGCCCTGTGCACCCTTAAAGCGGGTCTTGCCGGAAGCGTCCCGGTATTTAATCGTTGATTCAGAAGGCTCGAAGCGAGATTTGTCCAATTTCCTTCAAAGCAACGGGCATGATACACAGTACAAACACACAGCTCAAAGTGTGCAACCATTCATGCATATTGAACATGGTCCTCACGAGGCCACTCACACAGGGATCAGTGGACACCAAATGAACTGGCTTCCATGTTAAAGCACCAAACATTCCAAGGTAGGTGTTGGCATGGAAAATGGTCTCGCTCCATGCCGCCAAGAGTGCGCGTAGCCGTGGGTGATGGAATATCTTAGCTGGCATGTGACAGTCAAGAGTTCTAAAAAACACACACCGTATAGAGTGTGCATTCATGGGGCCACCATAACCACCCTTGCGCGCAATTTCCAAAGTTAAAATTACTATCCCTGCAACACTTGACTCAGCACCTTAAAAACTATCGCGTCCATCATCCTGAGGCTGGAGTTTGTGTCAGTGCAGCCGGGAGGCGAGGCTTTGGGCCGGGTTTTCAATGAGAAAGTGTCCATGAACCCAAAGAATGACGTAGAACACGAGGGCCATCTGAGCATGGAGAGATATCATGGCGTCCAATGCCAGCATGCTTTCAACTAAAGTGGGAACCTATGGGAACCTGGTTTCGTGT